ACACATGGGACTTCAAAGGCATCGCGCAAACGTTCTTTACGCGCTGCGGCAACTTTGATCTTGGTTCATTTGCATAGCGCTGCGTGCGCGTAGCTTTGCCGAGTGATCTCCTTCTCAATAATACCTCCATGGTAGAACCATGGAGAAAATAAAATAATTTTCTCCATGGTAGAACCCTTCTCCACGAAACATGCAGATATAGTATTTCCTTTAACTCTACGACCAACCCATTGAGGAACACCTTACCAATGGGAGGGAATACTCTGTGGACCGCATTGTTTTTCTTCCTTAATATGTATATTGGTTTGGCTCTGTAATCATTGTCCTTTATTAAACACTGTATTTACCTTTCTTTGATGATTTATTATATATAATTTAACAGTGTTAACGGCTATCTTGATTTATATTATATGTACCTATATTGTTTCTAGCCGTACCTATTGTGTAATGGAGTGTATCTGGTGGCTGTTCAACCATGAAGCCTCCGTGGTCTAATGGTTATGACGCTCGCCTTGACAGCGAGAGGTCGCAGGTTGGAGTCCCGCCAGAGGCATTTTATTACACAATTTCTTTATTTATTTATTTACAGGACTACATCGTTGAGAGCTACGCTACGCGATGTATTATTGTCCTTTATTAAACACTGTATTTACCCTTCTTTGATGATTTATTATATATAATTTAACAGTGTTAACGGCTATCTTGATTTATATTACGGTATATGTACCTATATTGTTTCTAGCCGTACCTATTGTGTAATGGAGTGTATCTGGTGGTATTTGAATCTGTTCAACCATGAAGCCTCCGTGGTCTAATGGTTATGACGCTAGCCTTGACAGCGAGAGGTCGCAGTTTCGAGTCCCGCCAGAGGCATTTTATTACACAATTTCTTTATTTATTTATTTACAGGACTACATCGTTGAGAGCTACGCTACGCGATGTATTATTGTCCTTTATTAAACACAGTATTTACCTTTCTTTGATGATTTATTATATATAATTAAACAGTGTTAACGGCTATCTTGATTTATATTATATATATATATATATGTATATGTATATATATATGCCTATATATATAGGCATATATATATACTTATATACATTTTAGGAATAATGATAATAAACATTGTGTTCTAAAAGTCCACTCTGTTTCCTGTTTTCTTTCTACTATCCATATGCGAACACACGTGTCCGATTCGATTTCGAATTATGATATGTGCAGGCTGCCGGCACCGTGACCTCTGACGATTAGTTCCTTCAAATTTTTACAAAAACATAATGCAATAATGGCATACTGATTATTATTATTGTATTTTCGGTATTATATTTCAGCTTCTCCGAGTTTCTTTCCAATTCTTCCTTCTTCCTTTATTCTTTCATTTTACGTTATTTTATTCATAATTACAGATTACTTACACATACATTTAACATTTTAAGTTTTTAAATATAATTGTTTAAATTTATAGGCTAGTCTCTGTATACTTGTTCTATAATTAGCATAATTCAATCTTTGTTTAATTTAAAGTCGGAGCTATGTCCTGGTCTTGACTACCCTAGAGTCACTCTCAGATAGGCTTATCTTCATATGACTTCTATGAATGGATACACCTTGTTCGAAGCAAGAAATTTACTCAGTACCAAAGGCTTTTATACAAAATTAACTATTATGGAATAAGAGGTAGTACACACAATTGGATTAAATCATGGTTAATAGATAGATCCCAATCGGTATTTTGTAGATGGCTACACACATAAACAAATGTAAAATCCGGAGTACCACAAGGAACAATAAGGCCTAGGCCTATTAGGACCCCTCATGTTCTTACTCTATATTAGTGACATCACAGAATAAGGTCTGAAATGAAACTATTTGCTGACGATTGTATAATGTTTAAAAGTATTAATGATGATTAAGATACCAAACAACTTCAAGAAGATCTAGAAAAAGTAGTGGAATGGTCTAATAAATGGCAAATGAAAGTTAACCCTAGCAAATGCCAAGTGATTAAAATAAGCAATAATAAAAAAAAAAACAATCAGTATTATAAATATTTAATGAGTAATGTTGTTCTCCAATCAACAAAACAACTCAGTTATCTTGGAGTAACAAAAATTAACGTAAACTGGTAGTGCAGGTCTGCCAACTAAGTAACTGAATATTAAATTGCAGGATTTTAACGTTGATGAATATTATTTGTTAGCTACATACAGTAATGTCCTATACCAAGGCTTCAAGCATCCTCAACTGAAAATTTTCTGGTACCTTAAGCGACTGACACAAACACATTGTATTATTTAATTAGGTCTATAATTATTGATATTATTATTATAATTAATGTTATTGTATCATTATCGGTATTTTATTACAAATTTATTATAAATCAAAAATGAGTTACACATTAAAAGAGATGCATACTTTAGTTGATTTGATATTGCCCATTGTTTCGTTAAAATCTACGAAGACATGGTCGTATCATTCTGTTCTTTTATTCCATTATATAACTTTAATGCTGTGTGATGGCCATAGTCTACCAATAACAACGAACCCCAGCCTGCATACCGCATTATCTGCTTGGCATTGGTCATCTTAGCTTTTGCATCAATTTCCCTCTTCTTTCCTAGACTGTCGACGCGCTTGTAGGCTGCAGCGGTGCTTTCGATCGGAGATGCTCGCTTGTTATACGAGATGACGCAATAATTCTCATCGCATGATGGGGGCTTGTGATTGTACGAATGGGTTAACTTTAAGACACATATGTCCTTGTCTGAAATGTTAATGAATTCATCTTCAGTGACTGGTTTGCATGGCTTAACTATGTCGTCTGGAGAAATTATGGTAAACTCATCGTCATCTATCTGAGCATGTTGTTTCGAGTTTATTGTTAACGCGTCTGCAGGAATTGGTAAAATGTCTTCTAATGAAATGATGACAAACGCGTCGTTATCTAACTGTCCATTTTGGGAGGATTTAGTATCAGATACAGTTGGTAACGCGTCTGCGGATATTGGTATAATGTCGTCTAAAGAAATGACTACAAACGCATCAGTGTCTAACTGTTTAAGCAAATGATCCTCTATGGAAATGACACAAAAATTATCATCATATAGTGAAGCATCAGCTGCTACATCTGGTAACGCGTCTGTGCGTTCCCGATCGTCAGTTGAAATAACATCAGAAATTTGACCAGAAGAATTAACGAAGAAGACTTTGTATTTGATTTCATCTGTTTCGAAAACAACTCCCTTTACTTCCTTCTTTTTATTGTTCTTTTTATCGTCACTCGTTTCCTCACTTTCTTTATCCCTCATGTCTATTTGGACCTCATCCTTATCCTCATCTAAGGGAGTATTATCCGGGATTTTATCGTGCTTACTACAGAGAGAAACAACAACAAAAAAATATTAATGAAATAAAAATTGTTCACACGTAGTGGAGCTAATTTTAAGCTAAGTAATAGCAGCAGCTGGTAAATTATAGTAATATTCACTTGAATCATGTTGCTGCTAAACACTGGAACATAAGTAATGTATTAATGTATATATCAAATTTTTAACATACAGTGCTCAAACGTATAGGGACATGATGTAATAAATCGTATCAAACATAGTTCCTCAACGAAAATTTCTTTATCATAATTGTATGAAAAAAAAAAACGTCTCTGGTGGGAATTGAACCCGCAATCTCTCGACACTTCGGTTACCGTCATACAATTTAGACCACAGAGGCCCTTACGATATCAGTACTGAGGGCTCACACAAAGCAGAGCCAATTTTATGCTACGTAGGTCTAATAGCTTTTAGGTAGCAGATGGTAAATCATAGTAAACAATATTCAAATCAAGTTCCTGCTCAGCACTGGGGAACGCAATATAAATCAAATAGACAATACAGTGCTCATATATATATAGGAACATATAAACCGTATCAAACACATTTCTTTAATTCCTTATTATAGTTGTATGAAAACAGGGGTCTGTGGTGGGAATCTTTAACTATCTCAGCGAGCGTTTTAAAAACTGTTTTTGTACATTTCATAAAGAAGTCTCCGAAGTTATTTATATAAAAAAAAATAGGCTGTTTACCGTATTTATATGTTCTGTTAATCGTATGTTCTCTCCCCCAAAACGACCCTTTACATAGCCTTTTTAATTATACTTACAATCTTCTTCTGGGCAAAAAGTAGCAATCCTATAGCAACGGCCCCCTCCCCCGATTTTGTTTTTGTTTGGAAGGTAAAAGAAAAGAAAAAAAATGAAAGAAAGAAAAAAACAAAGAAACAAAGAAACAAGGAGGAAAAAATTGATAGCCCAAAACGCCCCAGAGGTTAATTTCCCATAGGGTCTCGATTAGTCCCACTTTCGCCCCCCACCCCTTTCGGCCTCTCCTTTTGGACATCTTTCTGGATCAGCCCCTGCTTTAAGGTTTGGTAAAATTCAATCGTTAGACCATCGCACCCTGGTGCTTTGTTCTGTTTTTGTTGCAATTACTTTGTTGTTGAAACAGGAAATAGGTCTACGTAGACATACGTACCTTTGATGGAAGTAACAAAGTGCCATTTTGATAACAATAACAATCAAGATTGAACTTAATGTCCCTATTAGAACCGTCGGAATTGCGAAACCAGAGGATTTGCTCTCACCTTTAAAAAATAAATAAATTTAAATAAAAACATTTTTATTCTTACATATCATATCAATTTAATTGACTTTGTAGACGGGTGTCGGCTAACTCGTACCCATGCCAACTCGTACCCACTTTGGCGAACCCTAACTCATTCTAGGTGCACTCTTACCCATCATTGGCTACTTCGTCACCATGACTTTTGGTAAACTCGTACCCAAATATACAGTATTTTATTAGTATAGATGTATAAGAATATTGTGTATGTTTTTTTTTTCAAAATCATTTGTTTTGATATTTAACATTATTTATGATAGTTATGCGCTATTTGTTTCACTATGTTTCATATTATATTGTAATAACCATGATCTTGATCTTGTACTAATGACCTTTGTCGAACTCGTACCCAAATGCTTTCAAACGTATCTATTTATAAAATTGAAGGAAATATAATGAATTATGGTAACTGTACAGTAGGAAAGTATAATACATACTCCAAGTATTGAAATACACGCCATCGTGTTGGGATTCAATATTTCGACATTAATGATGTCATCATCAGGAATGAGGATTACCGGACATTTAGCTATTGGCTAAATGCTGGTACTCTACCTCTATAAGAACTCATCACGTAAACACATGATTAACAAAAACAAAAAACAAAAACAAAACAAAAAAAATTAAAAACAAAAAAAAACAAAAAAAACAACAATAGGCCTAAGGCTAGTTATAAGGGCGATTGAAAAAGAATACATTAACGACAACACCATGGAGGATTAAATTTAGACTTATTCCTCCATTGTAACACTGACGATTGCGTGGGCTACCGTACTGAAGCCAATAGCTAAATGTCCGGTAATCTTGTGTACGTTTTTTTCAAATTCATTTGTTTTGATATTTAGCATTATTTATGATAGTTAGGCGCTAATGGTTGCACTATGTTTCATATTATATTGTAATAACCATGATCTTGTACCAATGACCTTTTTCGAACTCGTACCCAAAAGTTTTCACACGTATCTATTTACAAAATTTAAGGAAAAAATATGAATAGTAACTGTACACAAAGTCTTTCTGTAATAACGAATGATGACAACACTTTTAAATTGTATGCAAGTTCGTCTTACAATGCGGTTGTCTTCCTTTAAAGGATTGTAAGTTAAATTTTATCAAAATAAAAGCAGCTTTAAAATTAATGACAACGGATTTAGTAAGCTTTTCATCATTTCTCGAAATTATATATTACACTGTCGTCAGGAAAAAGGCGGCCAGCGTACAGGTGACCATAAAAAAAAGAAATATCTCCACTAATCCATTAACATATCTAATCTTCATGGGACATTAACCTCCCCAGCTAGTATCCAAAAATAGGAGTTACATAATATAGTTTTAGTAAACCTATAGGCCTATGGGTTGCTTGAATTGCATTTTAAAGAAACTCTTACCTTTAATTTTCTCAGTAGAAAAATTTGAAGAAATTTTTGGAGAAGTATAATCTTGTCCCGCTATTGTCCTTGTATTTAAAAGAAATCAGGATATATTATTGAGTTCTGGTAAAGCACGTTAAAATTTTAAGTAGCAAATATAACAGTAATATAAAACTCTGGAAATATATTATTATTGAAACCTATACGTAGATTCGGTCTTGATGACGAAAATGACGTCGAATATTGTAGTAACGTTAATATATATATTCATTCTTTCTGCTGGTACGCTACCTCTATAAGGACTCATCACGTAAACACATGATTAACAAAAACAAAAAACAAAAACAAAACAAAAAAAATTAAAAAATTAAAAAAATTAAAAAAACAAAACAATAGGCCTAAGGCTAGTTATAAGGGCGATTGAAAAAGAATACATTAACGACAACACCATGGAGGATTAAATTTAAACTTATTCCTCCATTGTAACACTGAAGATTGCGTGGGCTACCGTACTGAAGCCAATTGCTAAATGTCCGGTAATGCACGATTCGTTATCGATTAACTTGTCTTAAAAAAATAAAAAAATATAAAAAAAAATAAAAACACAAGTACGCCTACCGATACATGTTACTGATAATAAGGACATTGGGCGAAAGTGCTCAATTTTTAAGCCATGTCCAATTACCAATTCTGAGATTCTGAGATGATGATGATGATGATGCTGGTGATAATAATAAGGATGATGGTAACTAGGAGGATGATTAGAATGACAATGTATTATGATGATGATTGTAGGATATCTAATTTGGGGGTATGTGGTATTTATATTTATTTATTGAAACTTCATACACCTAGCAGCCTCACGGTTGAATTACTTGTACTCATGAAGTTGAGAATTAAAGCCCGAAAAGAGAAACCTGTGCTACACATAATTTGTTTCTATTTATATATAAGTAATGTATAGGCATAAGTCACGTGAGTACTATATTGAGAGCAGTTGGAGCGAAAGTAAAGAGTGAGTGACTGAGCGAATGATAACAAAATGACTAAAAATCCAAAATGGGTCATTACCTATTTTCGTGGTCTAGGTTTGGTATGCTTGTTGTCGCAAAAACTGAAAGCAAATAAACATCAAACAACAAATCTATATAATCGATAGTGATATTAATTGAAAATGTATCTGGAAAATGTGTTTGAACATAAGTCGAATATACTGGATTAAATATAAACCTAAAAATTATAACACAGGTTTTCTCTCCACCAAATACTATAAGAGGATCTTATTTTTTATGTTTAATTCATAATGTTCTGGTTTTTTTTTATATTAAAAAACATTTCGGTTATGTTTAAAAAATGTGCCTATGAATGAATAAATATAGGCCTACCAGATTAATTAATCAAATAATGGTAACACCGGCGCTACTGAGCGGAGCAAGCATTTACGGGTTGAGCGAGAACACCGGTCGTAAAGAAACAGAGTCTAACAATGTTTTATTGAAGACTAATTTGTAGCCAATCTCCAGAACGAACTCCTGAATGTGAGAAAGGGAGCTAGGGTGCGTGGTCTGAGTTCGTCCGAGGCCGAAATCTCAGTAATCAGTTGTCCCGACATGTAAAACGGTCTTCCATTGTCACATTCTCCTATAAGGAATTGTTGCACAAGCTACAAGTGTTTCTCCTACTTGTTCTTGTCAGCTTTTCGGAGTTGAGGAGAGGCTATTTTCCAAATAGTCTGCAGAATGTTAGGGCTACTTTTCCATTTCGTTAATTGATATATGTGTCCATTTGTAGGTTATTGTTGATTCTAAGCTTATGAACTGTTCATATGTATGAGTATGTATCTATTTTTATTTGAGGCATCAGGGTGAGTAATCTTGATACATGACCTTTGTTTTCATTTAACTGATGGTGACTGAAAACTCAATGCATGTTTCAGAAAATTGATCTACAATCTCGTGAATATGGACCACAGAATGTGACAAAACAGCTTCATCAGCAAACAACACATCCCTAATGGTGACATGGGGTGTGTTCGGGCGAGAACGGGAAAAATTTACATACAGGGTTCTTACTGGTACCGGTACTAAGGTATTATGCAAATGATGAGTTTTATCAAGTTTCCCTGGACCCTTGCATCACCCCATACTTTAAACATGGACCTTTGAATAAGGTCCATGCTTTAAATAAGAAACGGACATTGGCGTTGGTACACTGCATAATGTTGTTATCTCAAAATCAAGTGGTGAAATGACCGAAGAAGCTACAAGCCTCATAAAGCATAGGGCCTACATTGAAAACTTCCAATAAATTGCAGATGTGCACTTGAGCGTATAAACCCAGAATAAACTTTCATTCGTTTGGCAATGGTAGTATAAAACAAAAACAATTATGTATGTAATAGGGTAACAATCTGGATTGTAGACTAGCCCTAAGTTTAAATAATTTATTTTATCGAGCTTTTCAGTTTAGTTTTTGGAATTAATTCTTGTAAAAGAATACTACTACTACTACTATTACTACTAAGGGTGCGTTCGAGCCAGAAAAATATCCGTGCGAGGTCCGTGTATTTACACGGAAGTTAAATGCCGTGCGTGGCTCGAACGGGGGTAAGATGTAAAAAACATCTGGAACACGCTTGCCTATTTTGACCACCAAATTTAGGGTTATAGAACCGTGTATCGCTGTCAAAGGCCATTATCGCGACCATTAAACATGTTTTAATGACTCTACCGTCTGGCGGTCAACATGAATTAAATTCAACACGCGCGAAAACCATAGGCCTGTCCAGTTTTACAAAAATAAATGCATTCGCTGACCTGTTGTTAATGTTATAGCATCATCTTCATCATTTCAACATGTCTGTGTGGACCGAACCTATGATATGTTACCTTCTCTCATCGTTGGTGGGGGGGGGGGACAGAATACAAAGACAACTGGACGGCACCCGCCGAAACAGCGGTATTTACAAAGAAATAACTGCAAAGATCGAAGAAAAATTTAGGGGAAAGCTGACGGTGACACAGGTCACCAATAAACTGAAGTATTTTTGCGCAGGGAGTACAGTACAAGTGCGTGAAGCGTGGTTAGAAACGTAAATATTGCGTGGCATGACTATATAATATTGGCTCGCTGACCTCAAACGAGTAATTCCGTGGTAAATTTTTACACGGTAAGACAAGATAAGTTTGAATGCTCGAATGCAGGGACCCCCCCCCCCCGTGGTGTAAATCCGTGCGTTTACCTGTCATATACACGGAATTTAATAGGCGTGTATGGCTCGAACGCACCCTAATACTACTTCTGGCGCGTGTTGAAACAGTTAAAGAGCTATCAAAAGGGATTAAGTGATAAAGAATGCCCCCTGCTGCTAAGGCATGCTGCTTTTGCTCCTCCAAAACACTGCAATTTGCATCGTTGTATTATCAGCGGATATCAGCAGGCGGCCCGGGTCCGCGTTTAACACCCATTCGGGCGAGAACTGGAAATGGCCGTTTCCGGATTTATACCGTGTTAACCAAAAAAAAAATAAATAAATAAAAAAAAATAAAAAAAAAAAACTCGCCCGAACGCACCCATAAAATACTTTGGTCTTGGCTTTCAATATTGAGAGCTTCAACAATCTTCCATCACTTCTCGAGTGCAGATTATACTCCCGCAGTCGATGGATCAAAGGCAAAAGAAGATTCCCAATAGCATAGGTGCAAGGACGCTGCCTTGTTTAGTTTCATGCTTTTACATCAAAGCAGTCAGATGTTTCACCTTGTGCTTGCCCTAATGTTGTAATGAAGTGATTTGATGAAGAGCAAGAATTTTGTTGGACACCCAAATTTTCCCGAGATCTTTAACAATCTATATCTGCTGATCAGATCATAAACTCCACAAAATACACCCTGTAAGGTAACTAGCATTGTACTAACGTTTATTGTCCCTGGTTTTCATTTTCTATACAAGCTACAGTACTATTCCTGTTCCTGTATTATTATTATTATTATTACTATTGAATCAAGTTCAATACACCTTTTCAACCTACGTCCTACTGTATGTGTGTAGTGGGGTAATCGGCCAAGAGGAAATAAAGACTTGCATAAAAAAACAACTTTCAAAGCTTGATTATATCATAAAGTTCAAAACTTACCACAACTGCAACAAAAAATGAAACAGAAAACGTGTACATGTTTCTTAAACATTTTAAACTGCCATTTTATCATAGTTAGATTAACACAAATCAATCAAAAAGTTAACGGTTGTAACTAAACACTTTAGTCTTCAGAATTTAAAGTCTTCTGATTGCCGGAACACTGCCTACTGCCAATAGGTTACCTAACCAAGCGTATATAGGCCTAGCCCTCGATTTTTGAGGGCGTATATCTGTCTCTTATACCCATCTAGATGTGTATAAGAGACAGATGTTACTGATAATGTAAACAAAACTAGGGAGCAGCATCATTCTCAATACATTCTATTAATGTTCTACCTCACAAATACGTATCCATTTTACACCAAAATAAAGAAACGCCTCTCGAATAAAAACCTCCCTAGAATAAAGTCCCCTTCAAAAACGATTTTCAACAGTAAGCCCCCGAGGCGTTTTTTTTAAATGAACGGTATACTAATGTAATATACCAAGGCTCTAACAAGCATCCTCAACTTGAAATATGCTGGTACCTTTACCTTAAGCGACTTACACGAAAACATTTTATGTATTATTGTATTATTAGGCTTATTATTAGGCCTATTAATATCATTATTAATTTTAATGTTATTGTATCATTATCATCATTTCATTTATTATAAATATTGAGTTATATAATTACAAGGGAAAATGCATACATTAATCGAATTGATATTGGCTATATTTTGTTGAAAACTACGTGGGCATGTTCGTATCATGCAGTTCTTTTATTACATTATATAATTTTGATGTTGTGTGTCGGCCATAATCTACCAAGCTCAACGAACCCCAGCCTACATATCGCATTTTCTGCTTGGCATGGATCATCTTAGTTCGTTTTATATCAAATCCACTCTTTTGTAGCCTTTCGACGCGCTTGTAGGCCGCAGTGGTGCTTTCGATCAGAGACGCTCGCTTTTTATACGAGATGACGCAATAATTTTCATCACATGATGGGTGCTTGTGAGTGTACAAATGCGTCAACTTTAATACACAGATATCTTTGTCTGAAATGTTACAGAATTCATCGTCAATAACTGGTTTTGAGGTCTGAACTATTTCGTCTGGGGAAATTATGGTAAACTCATCGTCTTCCATCTGTTGTTCCATATGTTGTGGTGATTTTTCAGATACTGGTAACGCGTCTGCAGGAATTGTTATAATGTCTTCTAACGAAATGATGACAAACGCATCATTACCAAACTGTCCATGTTGTGAAGAGTTTTCAGACACAATTGGTAACGCGTCTGCAGAAATGGGTATAATGTCGTCTAAAGAAATTATTACAAACGCATCTTTGTCTGACTGTTCAAGTAAATGATCCTCTATGGAAATGACACAAAAATTGTCATCATATAGTGAAGCATCAGCAGCTACATTTGGTAACGCGTTTGTGCGTTTCCGATCGTCTGTTGAAATAGCATCGGGAATGTGACCAGAAGTATTAACGAAGAAGACTTTGTATTTGATCTCATCTGTTACGAAAACAACCCCTTTTACTTCCTTCGTGTTATCGTCAACACCGGTTTCCTCATATCCTTCATCCCTGTCTATTTTTACTTCCTCTTTATCCTCACCTAACGGGGTGTTATCAGGAATTTCATCGCTCTTACTAAAGAGAAAACAAAAGAAATAGTATTAGGCCTCTACACTGTAAAAACAGCGTGGAGAGGATTTAAACGCAAAGTTCCACGCAATGTTGCCTCGTCTTTTGTTTAAAAGCTAAACGTGTTTAGATACATCTTAATGTGCTTAGGATGTCGGCGTGTTTAGAATTAAATGTGCTTATAGGTATTTGACATCATGATGTCAAATTCATAAGCCCATCTAATGCTAAACACGCCCAGAATACATTAGGCCGTGCCTAGGCACGTTTAGCTTTTTAAACGTGTCACCAAGGACGGGACAGCATTTTTTACAATGTACTGGCATAATATAGTCACTCGGTTTTGTATTGTGTTTGCACAGAGAGTATATACTAGCATGAATCGCTGTAATATCTTTCCATACTGTATTTGTTGAGCTGTTGGAACATAACATAGATATAAACTTACCGCCGATTGGTGTAACAAAGTGTCATTTTGATAACAGTAACGATCAAGATCGAAATTAGTGTCCCTATTACAATCGTCGGAATGGTGAAACCAACCGTTTTGTTGTCACCTGTTAACAAAATATAACATTTTTATTGTATTCATTTAATTGGTCCGTGTAGAAAAGTAAGCCACCTTCAAGTTCACAAAAATGGAGGAAAAGAAATAACTATGCCACCAGTGGGAGCGTGTGTCTACTGCTTTTTATTTATTTATTTATTTTTTTTTTTTTAATTTTTTTTTGTTTGTTATTTGAGGCTACTTTTAACTCTTAACCCATTCAGGTTTTCTGTGTTGGCAATTCACTTGATTAACTGTACAAGTTGATTTTTTAGTTCTTTCCAAAACAGGTCATATCTAGGTATATGTCCTCATATTTTATAGGCGTAGCCTATTTTGGAAGACTGCTCATTTTCATCTTTAGCCTACGACGCAATATCCCATCATGCACCTCTACCGGATTTACTCCTACAAGTAAATTTCCAGACTATAGCTAAGTGTCCCCCGAATGGACAATAGACACAAACATTGTACACGATTTCTTTCCATAAATTCTTTTTTCAATATTGAGATAACAATTTGTGCAAGAATAAACTCAATCACTTGAGACAAAGAGAATATAGATCAATCTTACTGATTGAACAAACTCTGAACAATAAATTGTGAACCTCTTTGAAATAATTAAAGGGTTAGGTGTACAGCAGATCCGTCCACAACAACAATTCAATTTGGAAAAACTCAGCACATGTTTACATAAAATGGAAACAGGCATGTTTCTGCTGGAGAGCAGTCACTTAAGAAGACTAAAAGCTATGCTCCTGAAAAATTCGGGGAAAAAAGACGGAATGCCATTATCAACAAACATAGCACTGGTGCTTCAATATCTTAGCAACCTAACAACATTCTTAGCAAGTTATTATATCAGACTTGCAGAGATCTTAGGTTCACTTTCTTATGATTATCCCAGAGGGCAGAACAATACAGGCCTGCTTATGCAATAAGATCTGAATAACCTCATTATAGTAGATAATTTTACTTGCTTTTATCTAAATAAAGCAGCATAGTTTAAGATTATTGACAACTGGTTAGTATGCTTTTGGTCAATTTCTCAAAATGGTTACCCTGTCAGAAAGGTGGGCAGTGCACAACAGGTGGTCATAAAAAAGAAATATCTCCTCTCCTTTCCTTAGCCACTATCCTCTATTAACATACAACAAAGGCCTAATTAATCTTCGGGATCGTAAGCTCCATAATTAGGCAAACATGTAGTTTTGGTAGACCTATGAGGGTTTCTTGAATTGCACTTTAAAGAAACTCTTACCTTCAATTTTCTCAGTAGAAGAATTTGAGGAGATTTTTGAAGAAGTATAATCTTGTCCCTTTATTGCTCTTGCATTCAAAAGAAGTCAGGAGACATTATTGTGTTCAGGTAAATCAGGAATGTAACAGTAACAAATAGAACAATAATATAAAACAATGAAAATATATTATTAAAACCCATACGTTTTTACAAGTAGATGCGGTCTTAATGACGCAAATACCGTACATTATTACGTCAGCTTTCTGCTGTACCCCATTTAAGTACTCATCAATGTAAACACGTAATTTATTAACAAAAAACAATAATACTAGTGAAAAAATGAATAATAACATTAACGATAATACTGACATATGTGTGGACTTCTGAAAACAGTAGCTAAGTGTCAGGTATAAACTGCACGTTTCGTTATTGACTAGCTTGTCTTTAAAGAAACACAAGTACGGTTGCATGATAATGATAAGGATGATGATGATGGTGGTGATGATTATAATGATGAGGCTGATGATAATGTTTAGGATTATATTTAATTTATGATTTATGGGGGTATGTCTTATTTATATTTTTTGTTTATTTAAACTTCATATACCTCGCGGCCTCACGGCTGAATAACTAATTTGTGCTAATGAAGTTATACATTATAAACTTGAATTGAAAAGTCTGTCCCACATATATATTTTTTTTCTGTTTATAAAGTAATGTATATAAAAATGAGAACTGTATTTGAGAGCAGTGGAAACGAAAATAAAAAGTGACTGAGGCAATGAGGGTATTCGAATGTTTCATTTCGTTGACTACGAGTATTATTTTCATTCGACTGGTTCGTAAATGGACTTCGTTGACAACTAAAATTAAAGTAAACCAGAGGCCGATTGGTGACTTTAGAAACAACATTTGTGTTAATATAATTTAGATTAAATTTAAGGGAAAAAAATATAATATTTACCCACATGAAGTCAAAAAAATAATTTTAGGCCAACAGATTTTAAAAATCACAGAAATATAAGTAGTCCTAGTTCCTGTTTTCATGTTTATATTCTTAGTTTTTTTTAAACTCATTTTAGATCTTCTGCTAGGCCTATGTTTTAAATTGCGTCCATAAATGAATAAATAATGATAATACTGGCACTTAAACGGAGAGAGCATTTACGTCTTATTATAGTAAGACTAAATCTGGTTACTTGCATCTCCAGTACGAACCCCTGGAACAAGAAGGAATTGACGTTAGCGTGCATAGTCAGAGTACACGCGGGCCGAAGTCATGTTCTGACATGTAAAAAAGGTATTTTTTTTAAGTCACATTCTTCTATAAAGAATTGCTCACACTGCTTTCTCCTATTTGGTCCTGTCAGCTCCACTGGCTGGAGGAGCTTCTCTCTAATAAACATAAATGTTGGAAAATGTGAAAAGTACTCTCCTGGATAAGTTTAAAATTTATTTATGAATTATTGTAACGTATCTAGTATTGTACTAGTGTTCATTGTCCATGGTTTGTGTTTTCTACACAAGGTAATATTGAACGGTTAATAATTACGAAACAAAATAACTTTCAAGGCTTAATAATCATAACTTACCCGAACTGCAACAAAAGCAAACGTATACATATTTCTCGAACAAGAACTGTCATTTTACCGTTGTTAGGCTAATACATATCATTAAAAAAGTTAATGCAACTAAACAGGTCATTTAAGTCTTCAAAATTAACCTTCTGATTGCCAACACAGTACTATATTAATGGGTCACGAAACCATAAAGCGTATTATTTAGCCCTCAACTTGTGAGGTGTATATCAGTTAATAATAGACTCATTGTTGCTCAGTACCACTGTACGTATATATAAGCCTATATAGTTTGGATGCTTAATACTGACAAAATGTCAGGCGATCTCTAATCCAGAGAGAAAACCAGAGTTTCCTTGCAGTATTTGATCTTCAATAATAAAAAAAATCTCTAAATGCCTGATTGCGTTATTCTGTACATGCTGTCGTTCGGTAAGAGGAGCTGACCTATTGAACACGAACCTCAGTCGTTACGGGACAGCAGAGATCACAAAAGACATAGTTAAGAATAAGGTAGGTTAGCATTAAAGTTGATGGCCGTACAGAAGAATATAGCGATTAGCTAGTTTATCGAGGCATCCCAGGGCTCAGTGATTCAATGATCCGTTACGGTATTTTAACTAATTTAAGAAGTAAATTCCAAAGAATTTGCCAACAGTTAAAAAAATATACGAACATTTTAGGTACCGTAATTGAAATCATGTGTAGTCCATGCTATTGTATAGTGAGCAAGACCGTGATGCATTTACATAAAAATATTTTATTTTATTTTATAGAAACATTGCAAATTATAATCTACTCCCTCTCTTTAGTGCTGCAGTCTGTATTGAAACACAATATTACTAATAGCAATTTCAGTCCAGTTTTGCAGTCGCATTATTTAGGTTTCATGGACGTTTCAGGTTTGGTTAACTTTTTTTTAATTTTTTTTTTTGTATCTTTAAACGTCAGGCGACTTTCAATAACTATAAGCGTCCCTCCTCTCTCCTTATGGGGTCGTGACCCATACTTTCAGAGGTAATGTTTGGGCCTACCCACTGGAAAAAAATGTTTCCTTCAGGTGTGCTTGTGTGTACTGGGGTAAGACTTAAACACACTCACCCACACACACATGTATTAATGGGCCTAAATGCTAAACACAGCGTTAGTATAGACTTAACTGTTCGATTTAACGAATTATATTTATTTTTATTAGTACTTATGGACATTTATAGATTATTTATAAGTTCTAGGGCCTATATGCGGTTTTCAGTTAAATTGGAGAAGAAAAAAAATACAAGAAGAGGAGAGAACAAAACAAAACAAAAACAGCCTGAAAAAGGAGAGAAGTTGAGTCATTTCTTAAACATGGGCAGAGGAGGAGGCTCTAGGGTGTGAACAAGATGCTCGAGTGTTATAAATTATAGATTTTGGTCAGTGGTACTCTATAATACATTCATTGGGCTGTCTATAAACATAAGAGGCCAATGTGCTGGTGCCCTAAAGAAAAAGGCAATTTTTGATCAATTTAAGCTGTTTCTTGGCGGGTTTTAGAACCTGTAATCTCTAGAAATATGTTTTCTTTTTTTGATTTGACGAATAGCGGCTGACAGCATGCGAGTGTCGGGGTTGGTGGAGGCCTTTGTGACTCTTCCCAAGACTTTAAGCGGATGTATCTGAGAGACTGAGTACGGTATGTAGAGCTACAGGATGCCTGTCGGACAATCAATGGAAGACACAAAGAATATTAGAGGCGGATTTAAGTGGGTCCCAGGCCCCGAACCCCACATTTTTCAAAATAAAAAAAAATGGAGAAAACATTATATCCAAATTTAAGTCTGAGTGTCATTTCTAGACATCTAGAGGTACCATAATCATAGGTTTTCTTACCTCCGCACCAACCACGGTATGGGCTGAGGTGACTAAACCTTCCATTTGTGAAAATCCCTCTCGGCCCCCTCTATTTCAAATTCCTAAACCCGCCACTAAGTATGAGTGATTCAGTATAAGGTGAATATGGCAAAACATAATGTTAAGAATCCAGTGTGAGCTCCATCCAAACCAAGGACCGGAGTTAAGGTAGGCCTACATCAGTATGATGGTGTAAAATTAACAGCAATCAATTGAGAGCTAAACGCAACATTATTTAAGAAAATATTTATATCTCAACAAGAAAAAAAAAAAAAGAATGACAAACTATTGATATGGTCAGAGAATTGTAGTTTCAGTATATTAACTCTATTGAGAAAAAAAAACAAAGTTTATTATTAGTTAATTATTCATTAATACACAACATACAAGAAGACTACCTAAAATAATATAATACCGTACAATACAAATATTAAAAGCTATGGTGGAAAATTATTCCCCGCGGAGACCAACTCGGTGTTTCTAAGTAAATTTCGGGGCCAGGAATTAAAAGTTTGGGCTTAACTACATCACTTAAATAGAATATGGTAAAATATTAAAAAGACTGCTTGTTCAATTTTCATTTTTTTCCTTTAAGAATTCTTTCAGCATAGATAATATTAATAATAATAGTAATAATAGGCCTAATAATAATAATAATAATAATAATAATAATAATAATAATAATAATAATAATAATAATAATAATAATAATAATAATAATAAATCAGTATATGGGGAAGTTAATCTCAGTATTGAAATTTAAAATCATTTGTTATTCCAGTAAATTCCAAAAACTATATAAAAACATTTTTTGAAATTAACTTGCCCATTTTGAAATAACATAAAGTTATCAACTTGAACATAGAAATTAGTGTTTTAAAAAAATGTCTACCCATCAGTTTACAGCGAAAAATGATAAAAATGATTATTTTTATTACAATTTGTTGGTTTAAAAATCAGGGTACACATTTTTTAAATTCAATAATTTCTATGCACAAGTTAATAATTTGTATATTATTGCAAAATGAGCACGTTTATTTCAAACTTATTTTTTTTAATGATTTTTTGACATTAGCAGGGACAATACAGCTTTAAATGTCCCTAGTTGATATTCTACAAAGAATGAAATTTGAAACATTAATTTAAATTTTTTTTTCTATTGTCTAGCAAATCGTACATTATGAAAGCAACTTTTATATAAAGTTCAAAAACATACCGTAATACAGCAAATAATTATATGGAGTAATTATATGCGCACACTCTCCGAACGTTAAAAATAAAGTGCCATCAAATCATAAATTAATGTTTCTTCGTGTGCTTCTTGAGAGGAATTTTCAATAACAGTACTACTAAGACAAGACACAGACTGCGAGTTCCGTAGTGTCGGTATACAAAGGACCTGATGAATTATTTTCGAAGTTCCATTGAATCGAACAACTATAATATGTGTCAAATAGCAAATAATTGTAGTAAATATAAACAATCTTGAATTGGTGAATTAACTGAATGCACACTCAGTACTTTGACCTGGGTCAGTTTATTGACCTTGGCTCGCTAAACCAAGCGCATCACTGGGATTCGACAATAAAAGCTAATGGGTAATAAATGCCGATAACACTTTTTATTTATCTACGGAATAAATACCGAATTCATAATTTTTCATGCAAAACGAGAATTCCACAATATAGGACGTTTATTGAGAATAATAAATAAACAAAGCTAGGGCATTAAACGGTTCACGACTATGTACGACTTATTTTCATACACAACGCATGCAATCCATAAATACAGTAATAATATAATAACATATGCCCTAATTGTCGTATATGCCATATTAACAGTTAACCATAAAAAGTTATAAACATCGTAAATAAAAAATATTAGCTTATAGTTGCACGAATGGCGGTGTATAAGTAGTGTATTATGCATGGAATATATATATATATATATATATATATATATATATATATGTATATATATATTAGCTTATTGTATTTAATCGAATAAACGTCCCGAATTTGAATAAATGCCTCCACCAGAGCCTCACTTTGGGATAAACGCATCTCTCCAGTAAACGCACCTGGGCGTTTATTTTGTCCTCAAATTGGCGCCCTCTTAAATGACTGTAAACAATACGGTACTAATGCAAGCAGCATTATTCTCAACAGATTCTATTAGTGTTCTTCTTGAGTATAGCATTTTTGTTGTTGGTTGGGATTGGGATAAGTCTTAGGATCACTCAATAACACACTAGACGGTATACGGTATATATAAATAAATTAGGCATCTATGAAATAGGGGCGTGTTTGTTCCGGTCCAACATATGTAGAGACTGATCGCAAGTGACAGAAAACAAGGTTTGACGTATTTCGGAAACATATATATATATATATATATATATATTTATTTGTACATAAATATTTCGGTCGTCTCTGCAACTTTCCTCGGTGTAAACTCACTTCTGAGTATTGATCATTTGCAGGTGCAGAAGGCATGGTTATATTTGGAAGTTTTGTCAAATTACTGGGAACTATACTCGCACAGACAATGTATTAGCCGAAAGTGACTGTTAACAAAGACACACACAAGTTAATATGTTAATAGATAAGTTTACAAATTCAAATGTTTAATAGAAAATATATTACCATATAAATTATTTAATACAAAATTTTAGTACAAAAAAATACAATATAAAATACCCTTAATGGTTATTCAAAAGTAAAATGCTATCAAGCGTTCTCCAAGTCATCGTAAAATATTGCAACATTACACTAAAATATATTTTTCGATAAACATGTTTAAGAAACCATCTTTATATCAAATGCATACTGTATTCAATACGCAACCAACACATGTACAATCAGAAACGATAGAATTTACCTTGTTTTATACTTTTAGGCAGGACAGTTTAGAATTAATGAAAAGATCATTCAGAAGTTTTTTACCAGCCTTATTATCATTCAGTTACTGATATTATTACGGATTGAAACAAACGTAAGTATTGCTAGATTTCAATGAAATGCAATAAATAAATAATATTCATGTTTCGTATTACGTTCAGTCTTTGAAAGTGTATAATTTACCGCCTAAGACGCGAATTTGTCTATCTTTCAAGGCAAGTGAACTCTAAATCCTAGGGTTGGAGTGTGCCATCACCAATAATCTTAAAGTTAAACACTCGGTTGCATTACATATTCATGCAATGGAATGATTAGTGGCGGATTTAGAGGGGCGTAAGGGGCGTACGTCCCCTCTATATTTTTTGTCAAGCTTTTTAGAAAATTACCATGCTAAATAGTAAAAATCAATCAAATACAAACACAGATTTATGAAAGTGATGGAGGTTTAACACCTTGCACCCATATCAGGGGCTCTTCCTTGAGACTCCCACGCAGTTCGCATATTCACACCCGTCTGGATCCGCCCCTGTGATTTGGAATAATGTTTATTTAAAGTACTGTACGAAAGAAAGTAGAATAAAGTTCTTACCATTATTGTAAATATAGATATTGATATTAGTTATAACAATTATTAACCTTATAAATTATGAATTAAAATATATTAACATATCTAAATCTTGCAACATTTTCACCACTTTCGAGCAATCGATTAAATTAATAATGAAAATACGACAATCAGATTTAACTCTAATAAATTTCAAATACAGTGCAACGGATATTTTCCTGTCCCGTTTAAATGTTTTGCATGTTTAAACGTGGCAGTAGTTTTAAATTGGTATTCCAGTTCACCACTTTGGGCTGCTATTGTAATAAAGACATTAAGAAAGATATATATACAGATAAATGAAAATATAGTTTCAGAAGACAAATAGATATGGGGAATAGCCACTAACATTAATCATTACAACCTCCATCATCACTACTATCATCATCACTATCATAATTAATTTGTAATAATTCATCAATAATGAGCGTATTATTATTGTTATTATTATCATTATGGCATGCTAGGTAACCAATGTCTTGCACAGAAGGGCAAATATTACAATAGCAAAAAACACAATTTATAATTATAACTAATTTTCGCGAAAACTACTCGAACACCTTAGTGTGGAAAGTTTGCATTCCTTTATAAAATGTCGTTGAAGTTTGAATACCATAGTCTACCATTTTCCTTGCGTTGCAGCTTACATAACGCATTGCCCTCTTAAAATGCAACATCTTAGCTCTAGTTACATCGAATTCCAGCTTTTGTAGCGCCAGAACACGCTCGTAAGAAGCGACGGCAGCTTCGGCCGTAGACGGTCGCCGGTTGAATGAGATGACACAATAACACTCCTCGCTTATTGAAGGGTACTTGCGAATGTACGAATGCGTTAACGATAAAACACAGATACCCTTGTCTGGAATGTTAACGAATTCGTCGTCAGAAAGTGGGATAGATGTTATACTATCATTTGGAGAAGCAGTATCAAACGCGTCATCGTCTGCTGAAAGAACAAAATCATCATTACGTGGTAACGAGACTGTTGGCGCGTCTGTACGTTTCGGTCCGTTCGTTGAAAAGTCAAATGAAATTTGGCTATTTTTAGAATTATTGTTATTGAGTTTATCGGTTACTTTTTTCAGAGAAACCTTTCTGTCATTATGTTTGCATTCATTTCCCCTTTCACCATTTCCATTCTCGCCACAGAAATCGACTTTATCGGTTACGTTTTTCAGAGAAACTCTTCTGTCATTATGTTTGCATTTATTTCCCCTTCCATCGCTTCCATTCGCCCCGCAGAAGTCGAGTTTGTCTAATTCCTCTTTATTCTCACCCGAAGTCAGGTCAACACTCTTCCTACTAAAGAAAGAACATAATAGAATATTGAAATAGTCATTCGTGTTTATAGTTCACTGTGTTGCAACAGCTATTTAAACATTAATAAACGAAAGCCTGTTTTCCTTGAAATCGCCACATTGTCGCTACTGTGTTTTCAGTGCAATCGTTGTACTGTGTAGCAGTCAACGACGCAATCGGTAAGGCTCCCCGATTCGACGGACCAATAGCATCATCGAAAGCTGTCAGGGATAGCGTGTACCGATTGTATGGAAACCAAGCTTAGAACATGGATGGGTTATTGAGTTAATTCATAGCTCATAAATCAATGTAGGCCTATTCCATCTTACAAATACAACAAAGTTAAATGTTGATTGGTGATGGCGATGGTGATGGAAATGGTGGAGTGGCGGCGCTACGGGGGGTGGCGGGGCTAGGGGCTACATCCCCCCTGTCGGGGAGGTCTCCCCCACCCCCCAAGTCGGGGAGAAAAACCACAATTCGTCGGGGAGAATAAAACATTCAAAAAATTGTATGTATTTTGTACATATTAATAGACTCTAAAATCGATTAAGTAAACATTGGAAACTAAATTGTCCTATTTTCAAGGGTGGGGTGGGGTGGGGGGTCGTTAAATCAAAACAACCTTTTATCATGCACTTACGCCGCGCTCACTGTTAACCAACTTACCAGTCATGTAGAGAATATACAGCCATTATTATAAAAACAAAGACCAAGATTGATGTTGGTATTCCTATTATTATTGCGGAAACAGTCAAACCTTTAGCTTTATCTTCACCTATTTTTGAAATAAACATTTGTCATATCAATTTATGCTAATATATTTTCAACGTTGAAAAGAAATTTAATAGTAGTGATTTTCAAAAAAACATAAACAAACAAAAAAAACTCAAGTTTCGGAAAAGAAAATCAGAACTTAGCCTAATAAGCAGCTTACAAATATCATAAGTACCGGTATAGGCGTATAGAAATTTTGTTCACAATAATGCTGTGATAAAGCAGGCACCTACTGCGTCGTACAACGGTCCTAGGACTGTCGGCCGACGAATGTAACTCCACTCCATGTGAGTGCAAGACGACGCGACGCCGACTGCTGGTTGTCAGCGGCAGCTTGTGGCAGTCTGAACGGATCGCCATTAAAAACGATTCGTTCCGCGCGCGTCGTTGCGTCGAGTTCTTTATAGAATCGCGTCAGGCGCAGTGAGTGACCGGCTTAACAAATTGTCGTAAGCGAACTCAATCACTGTTGGAGTCTCTTAGTCATTGCCCTTCACGGGTAGGGTATTATCTATACACAAAATTGATGTAAATATTGATAAAATGCCTCGGCCTCTCCTTAGTAATAGACCTTTCCGGAGTATCAATCAAACAACTGACCAATCATAACAGCGCTAGGAATACGCGCGCGTCTTACAGACAACATGTTGTCCCACGACATACATATATATATATCTGTCTCTTATACACATCTAGATGTGTATTATGTACATATATGTATACATATACATATGTATATATACATATTATATATATATATATATATATATATATATATATATATGTGTGTGTGTGTGTGTATGTATGTATGTATTTTTTTTATAGTATCAAGCCCCATAGGGCCTGAATAATCTTACCTACACTAGTGCTACTCCCAGAATCCGATGAGGTTGTGGAAAATGTTTGAGAGGTAGAATAATGTATTGTCCTGCATTTAAAAAAAATCAAAGAACATCATTAAAATCAGTGTAAGCATAATGCAAAAAATTACATCAGTAACAAGACACCAACAAAAGATATGATATAATGACATTAATATGGGTGTAGCAGTATACCACTTACAAACTTCTTTTTCGAATAGGGGGCCTCCATCTTCTTGTTAATGCGATACTCTGCTTCAAATTGTACAATATTACTGTATATATTAAATTGTCTTTGTGATAACGTTGAATCGTTTTAATGAGCATAATACCTTTTTATATAGCTTTCCGAAAGCCTTGGAAATAAGAAATATTTATATGGCCTGTTTATCTACACTTTGACGATAACGATCAAAAACAATTTTTTTACCTAAATCAAATGACGTCATAATCATGATTATCAAAAATGATAAAATTGTAGTGGTAAAATCGATTTTATCGTTATTCTCATGATTATGACGTCATTTGATTTGATTTCATTTGTGAATTTTTTTTTATCGTATACACAATAAATCATATCGAATCATCTAGTTGCTTTTTATCGTGAATCGTTATCGTCATAGTGTACAGGCCTTACATTCTGAATAGGTAAGTAACAATTAATTATAGGTTCATTTTATTCATAGGTCTTTCAAAAGGTATTACACAAATATGTTCTGTCCAGGGAGATGTAATTTTTACATCTCCCTGTTCTGTCCCTGCACCAGAACCCACTGAAACATAGCATCCATACCTATTTGACATTCACTAGTATGATTTCTACAGAATATTCAGACTATAGACGAATCCAAGAGAGCTTTTTTGAACGTCGCCCTCTTTTGTCAAAGCCATTACTGTGGGTGGCATTTCCGAAATTGGAAGATGTTTTAAATACACAAACTATACTTAACTTTGATAAATAAAAATAAAATAAAAATAAAAATAAAAAGCCGGATTTCTCAATGGTACTGTGTTTATAACCACACGCATTAACATAGGAGTAGGCCTAGGTGACGACTCACTGACTTCAATTCCCAGTAATGGTGTCGACAAAAGAGGGCGCCATTTTTCTTGAATCTATAATAAGTTTGGTCCTCTACAAAATGCATTAGGCCGACCAGCCCTCCATAAACTAACGTTAGAATACCGCACTTGCAGCGGTAAAGAACAATTAAAACCTCATAAAAAAAAGCAACTAATCCGTTTACCTATAATTGAATCCATCCTTGATAATGTGTTAATCCAATTAATATAGTGAGATAACGTAACTTTAGTTTATCGAGGGCGGGTTGAGGTTGAGCTAATGTCAGGCATCGGATCAGGAACATAGCCGTTAGTACACTCATTGGAGGCTTAAACCACTTTAAATACTGGCTCTAAGTATAGGCCTACTTGTTTCTTGGTGCTTAGGACGCAATTGACGAACTTTATCTATGAGTTTTAAAAACTCAGTCTTGAATTTGTGGGGGTGTTTATATAATTGGCAATCCAAGGTCAAGAAAAAAATGTATAGAAAAAAATATACAACCTATGAAAGAACTCGGAGGGGATTATCACGCTAGCTTTCATTTTTACTTTATTCGACGATTTATTTTATTGTATTCTGTACACAGTGATCTAGTTAGAGATTTAAGTAATCCAGTCTGTATATATGTACTCAAAAAATAAATTTAAAAATGATTTTGCTATGCGGAAAATTGGGTTATTTTCTAAAGGGAAACTGCTGTTGTGTACAGAACCTTAATTATTCTGATAACTGCCTTAGCTCAATACACTTAAGGCCAACTCAGACAGCGTCGGCCGACGCAGCCCGACCCGATTTATCGTCGGGGACAGTCTTAAGCCGTCGTGAGAAATATTAAACACGTTTACTATTCTACTACGCGACTGCCCCCGACGCATACCATCGCGTCTGCGTTCAACTCACACAGACCCGACGCGACAACAAATCGCGTCGGGCTGCGTCGGCCGACGCTGTCTGAGTTGGCCTTTAGTTTTTAAAGTTGCATTCGGTACTGCACTGCATGTACATATATATTTACAAAAATATATTTTGGTATTTTAAGTTTTTCAGATTTTGAACAAGCACGACAGTAAATAGTAAGTACTGCAGGTATTAATAGTGATATAATACAATTGTAAAAATAATATAGTTAATAATAATATTAATTTTAAAATCAGACGGCTGTGAGTCAAAAATTTGAGAAAGTGAGCGAGCAAGAATGGTGTAGAAAGAATTATAGCTATATAAATGA